TTTTTTTTCGACTTGGCCGCATGCCTTTCTATCCATGTCTGGTTTTCATGTCCTGTGCATACATTCTAGGTCGCATCACTGCTTCATTCGCGTTTTTCCCTCTTCACCAAAACAGGTCGTTGGAATCTTAATCCCTCCTGCGAGGCACAGAATGCATAGGACGCCTCGATATCTCTGAATTCATTTCCTGAATGTTTAATCAACATGCAAACAAGATTTTCTAATTTTTGAAGAGGATTTAGGGTTGCTGAGGATTGATCCTAAGTTGACCAGCACGGTTCTTCAACTCTAAGCACGGGTCGCGCTCGATTCGAGGCGTACTTCCAACTCATTCTTTCGATGAGTTCTAATTGTTCAACTTCGCCCCACTTCACCCCTCATGCCCAGTTAAGGAGGGAGCATTTACCTCCATTATATGACACAGTTTGGAACTTGCTGTGCATTCCAAAGACCCTTTTAAGAGCTCCTCTTTTGGATTTGAGCCTCGAAATGTTCCAAAAGAACCCACCTCCTGTATCAGATTAAAGGTACCTTTTCTCTCAAGTCTACATGCGGTATTTTCAGATTCATTGCCAGTATGGTACGATTTCTCTGATGTTTTATGTTTCCTTGTCGCTGTTGTTTCCTTAGCATTTTTAGATTTCTCTCGCAAATTTGTAGGTCATCTCGGCCTCGTAAATTTCTCTTCTACAGCCTCCATCTGTCATATCAAATTAAAAGATTTCCCTTATCAATACCTTCAATCCATCCTTATTATCGACTATCTCATTTTATTGATTTTATAAGCATGTGTTCAGAAACCCTGACCCCTTTGAGGAGGTCTATGTAGATGCCGTTGAATTTTTCCGATTTAGCATGGGAGTGATGGGGAAACGAGGTGGACCATAGTGACAAAACACCTGCAGAAAGAATTTCGGGTAACGAACTAATCTGGATAAGTCCGTTTGCGCTCTTGTTGCTTTTGCTTTCGATGTATTTTTTTGGAGTTCTGTTCGTAATAGAAATCTTCAAATTTTCACGTTATCATCTATCCTAAGTCTTATCCCAGTCTGGGTGAACCTGAAAGCGTTTCGAGATATGCTACTATAAGTGATGATAATATTAGATCAGTTCATGAGTTCGAGCATTCTTCAAATTTTCCACTTTTTTGCTTTTTGTTCTAATTATCTTACACCACCACGTTCACCGCACTATTATAAGCTACCTTAAAGGGTCTGGAGAGGAAACGTTTTTCAAGGCTACGCTTACGAAGTTTCCATAGGCTATTGGGTGGAAAATGGCGGATAGCGTTTCTGAAATAGGGCTTAATTTTGCAAGTTTTTTTCCATGAGAAATCGACTAGCACATGACTACCAGTAATCCTTGATCGGGACATGTGGCTTCAAAGCCGGTAAAAAAGAACTGCCACTTCAACTTCTTCAACTTTTCCTGACTCAACTTTACAGTGTGCCTTCAAGCGTAGTCTGGGCAGATTAGGCCCAGCCTTGCTCTTTTTTTTTCAGTAGCGCTCATGCCACTGATGGCAGAATAGGCCGTAACTGATGCAGTAATTGGTCTCTTGATGAACAGCAACCTTGTTCCCCCGCAACTATGAAAAGCCTTTTCAGATAGAGTTCTCCAAATCGCGGCTGATTGAGAGTAAACAGCTGCGCTTGTGGTGGTCATTAGCAAACGAGCTTTATTTATAATTAGTAGGGAAATGTAAGAGATTTCTATAAGCTCGAGACGAAGGCTGTACCAACACTGCTATATCAGGGTCCAGCAGGCTAACCACTTAAGATCTGACCATATGAAGCCACGTAAGTAGGCGGCGTACCCTAAAATTTCATAGATTAGAGTGACAGTAATGTCATCTTGTTGCATGGGTGTACAAAAAAAACCCGATCAAGTTGAACGGGAATAAGTTCACAGGGTCGCATAAACTGTGACAAAATATGAAGCTCTTCAAATCTCAAGTGATAGCAGTAGAATTTCGACAACCACGAACGTTTGAGAATTATGAAACATATCCTATTAGTCATGATTAGGGCCACAATTGACAAGTAATTGGTAATGGTAATTGACAAGCCCATTCTGCTTATTGGGGCCAACTGGAAAGAATCTTATCCTGGGGGGTTTGTGGCATCGATCCTATCTTTCTTAAGCTAAAGAATTAATGAATTTTTATTGCAAACACCGAAATCCATTTGTGTTCTAATGAGGTGAATTGCTGGGCTTCCCTCACAAATCGACCTCTCCACCTTGGCTGACCATTCTGCACTTCAGACACGGCTCATAAGCCTCAAGACCTGCAATGTTCAATTGTTTTACTTGATCCGCCTGCCGTGTTTTTTCCCCTCGCTTAGAATTTCCTCAGATAAATAGCTATATTTTATTGCTTTTTTTT